ATAGAAACGGAGATGACGATGAATATTTTGTTTGTTGTAATAACCGTGATGGAATGGCTGGATCCATTAGAGAAGGCCGTTCCCGCAGTCATTCATTGTGGCCAGAGGTAATACTGTTAAGTGGAGGCATCAGGGGTGAGAGAAAGAACGTAAGTAAAAGAGAGAGAGATGACTAATATCTGAGGGTATTTTGAGACTGGCATCAGGGGTGAGAGAGAGAACATAAGTAAAAGAGAGAGAGATGACTAATATCTGAGGGTATTTTGAGACTGGGGTGGAAAGCTCCAAGTTCACAGTGACTTTGAGGCTGATTTGCAGAATTATAACTCACTAACACAGCTCTGAAAATGACTTCCCAGTGGTGTATAACCACTTCTGTGCCATACTTCCAGGAAATTACATATTAGTTTGAAAGCCACAATATTTTGATTAACAGTTGTGCATCTGTGCAACAGTTTGAGTCCTGTGCTTTGTTTGGAAGACGACAGAGTGCATGGGTGGATGAGAAACGAGAGGGACAGCAGGTGTGCGAGTGGGCAACAGCCAATCACAGCGCAACATTTCTACATGGCTGTGACTGCAGTCATTCCTTAAAAATAAGGAGAGCATTCAACTACGCAAACAGAAGAAAAGATTTGACTCTCTTGACAACCATTTAAACTAACATGGTTCTAAGTGATGTCTGTCTGACTTTGAATGTAGGTTTTAAGTAAAGCTGGATGATACTCAGTGATTGACAAGTAACTCTGTTCCATTTTAATAAAAAAAAATAAAAAAAAAGAGCAAGAGGAAAACGCAAAGCTCACTTTGTATCCTGTCTGCATCACCAGATAGGAAAACAAAGACACATGGCACATCATGGTGTCAGCCTTGGAAGAACCTTTTTTATATAACAATGTAGGAGGTCATACATTTCAGTTTCTCCAAGCCGTCATAGTTTTTCAGGCTCAAATTTCCCTTGAGATATACTAATAATTTAGAGAAACATTTATGACACATTAGGGTTATTTACAGCAACTAAAACTAAAACTGTACAAAAAAAAATTGTTACCTGAAATAAAATATACATTTTAAACTGAAATAAAATGAAATAAAAATGTCTATAGTTTTTTTATTCATTTTTATTTTAGTTTGTTATATTAGTGCATTAAGTTAAACTAAATAAATAAAAATAAAAAAATAAAAAAAGTAAATTAAAAACTAAAACAAAAAAAAATTAAAGTGAAAATAAAAGATAAAAAAAACAAATAAAAAAAACTAATATAGCATATCTGATACCAAAATAACACTGTGACACATTTTGGATTGGCATATAATTTACAAGCATTACTCAAGTAATTATGTAATTATTCTTTGTAATTATTTAAATGGATGGTTCAACCAAAAAAAAAATTTAAAAATTAAAAATAAAAAGTAAATGTTTTTTAAAAATGGCTGTTTTTTTTATTATACATTGAAAGTCAATGGTCACCAAAACTGAACATTCTCCAAAATATCAAAATGTCAATATTACTGTTTAACATAATGCAGAGTGGCAGCTCTTGTAGGCTGCATTTACATTGCAGTTATTGACAAATTAATTTTCAATGACATTTCCACCAATAATTTGTGATTAATTTTAAAAACTACTTTGATTGAGCCAACTGAATTTTGATTCTTATCAATGAATCGCTTAAACTGCTTTACAAACTAATTCATTAGTAAACTTTACTCTTAAAACAGTTCTCTTTACTCTTAAGAATCCATAACTAGTAATCAAAACCAATAGCCATCAGGTAACCCAGTGTTTCCCAACCTTTCTTTAGTCACGGCACCCTTTGGAAATTTTAACAAATTTGTGGCACCCTACAAAATTAATTTTGTCACAATATTTGAATTTCTAACTTCGATATGATACTTTGAAAAGTATAGATATTCAGTACAGCAGGGAAGAACTGCAGAATATACTGTCATACAGATATTTTTAATATTATTAAAAAAAATTGTCCATCAATGGTGGCAATCAGTAGGCTAATTTCTAATGAAAAGACCAATTTATATGACAGATTTTAATGTAGGCTTTTATTCATATGTAAACATTGTGAGATAGCTAGTTATAATGGTAATTAAACAAAGTTTTGCTCAATCAGTGTATTTTTTATTTTACAGTTGGGTAATTTTGTTGCAGTAGAATTGAATTGAATAAAAAATGACAAGGAGGTTAGGCAGTTAATAATAAAATAAGAACAAAAGAAATTACTAATGATAGCACAAATAAAAAATAACGATAGGCCTACAAATGAAATAAATTGCTTTTTTAGTTTTCAGGTAGGTCCTAAAACACGTAGGGTAATTGTCTTGTTAAGGCAAAGGCTTTCACACTGGATCCACAAGGAGGACAATTTTTGTTAAAAAAATTATAAAATAAATAATAATAATAATAATCATTTGTTTTGTCAGTTGTTGTTTAGGCTAAAATATGTTTACTAAAAATTAATTTCATTGCAATAACTGTAATACATTTACTAAATAAAAAAATATTATGCTTTCTAGTTTCATTATTAGTTTCTATGCTTTTTGGTGAAAAGTGCTACATAATTTTAATTGAATTGAAATGATTCTTTTCATGTTTATACAAGATACACTAAAACTAATATTTTTGCCTTTGCTTTAGAACAATGACTATAAATAAGCTAATAATTTTATTTAGGAAACAACACTATCTTCATAACATCACGCTTTATTTTTCCTCACACAGTACAAATGCAGCTGCCATGATTTTTTGAAAGAGGTCCCTCGCAAAGATATTGCCATAATTGGAGGTCCTTGGCATTAAAAAGTTTGAAATCCTCCATGTTAAGAAGGCAGAATCGTTAACCTACCGCTAAGTACAGCTAATACTGAATTGACTAGTATTAAAACCTCTTTAAGTTTTTTTTTCTTATTGATTGGCACTGAAGTACCACTACTTTCCTGTGTGTGTATCATTCTGTAGCAATAGAGGTAGGAAAGGAGCAGCAGGGATCACATGCTATAAACAACAAGTGAGGAAGGAAAGAGACAACCTGTTTGTGTTATGTATCGGATGCAGGACATTTACTCATGACCTGGGCTCCTCTCCAATCCTGCCACTCAGTCAAAAAAGCACAGTTCATAAAGGATGAACAGAGTGATGGAAGAATAGCACAGAGACAGAGAAAGACACAGAGGAAGAGGGAGAGATATTTAGTGTGAGGAAAGGGGGGTTGTCACTTAACGTGTTGACTCAAGCACAGCGAGTTGGAGGGTGAAAAATAGGGCAATTCAGCTAGAGAGAAATGAGGAATAACAGGGCTGCCCTGAGTCCAGCGTGAATCAATGTAATGGATTTACGTTCAAATTGGATGAGGAGGGAAGATGGGGGGAGGGGTGGTAAGAATGGAGCTGAATGTATACACAAGCTTCTGCGAGAAATGGCAAAAGGAAGGAAAGAGACAACCTGTTTGTGTTATGTATCGGATGCAGGACATTTACTCCTCTCCAATCCTGCCACTCAGTCAAAAAAGCACAGTTCATAAAGGATGAACAGAGTGATGGAAGAATAGCACAGAGACAGAGAAAGACACAGAGGAAGAGGGAGAGATATTTAGTGTGAGGAAAGGGGGGTTGTCACTTAACGTGTTGACTCAAGCACAGCGAGTTGGAGGGTGAAAAATAGGGCAATTCAGCTAGAGAGAAATGAGGAATAACAGGGCTGCCCTGAGTCCAGCGTGAATCAATGTAATGGATTTACGTTCAAATTGGATGAGGAGGGAAGATGGGGGGAGGGGTGGTAAGAATGGAGCTGAATGTATACACAAGCTTCTGCGAGAAATGGCAAATTGCTAGCGGCAAAAACATGTGAGGTGCTATCCAGCTCACTATAAGTAGTGTTAGAGAAGCGTGATTACAGTGACTGACTTCATTAGCGGATGAAATCAAACCTGATCCCTCCCGATAATCGGATCCGGCATCAAACATAGATACCTAATAACATCTATGATTACTTTACTCTATCTTGATTCAAACCCCGCAAAATAAGCTGAGTGATTTTATGATGTTTGTTTCTATTAATGGCTTTTGAATGTCTACAATATTGCTTCAAACAATGTGATAAAACCCTGTGACAGTATCATCTAGTGCCTTCCAAATTGTGAATGAATCTGATTCACTCAACGAACCACTGAATTACTTCTGGCCATCTCTGATGACTCAAAGTGAACCAAAATCTTCTGCTGTGTTGTGATGAAAAACTTGTGACGAATAGTTCACAGTAAGTACAAAAACCAAAACTAACTAACTAAATAAAAATAAATACATTTATAATTGTCTTGTTAAGGCAAAGGCTTTCACACTGGATCCACAAGGAGGACAATTTTTGTTAAAAAAATTATAAAATAAATAATAATAATAATAATCATTTGTTTTGTCAGTTGTTGTTTAGGCTAAAATATGTTTACTAAAAATTAATTTCATTGCAATAACTGTAATACATTTACTAAATTAAAAAATATTATGCTTTCTAGTTTCATTATTAGTTTCTATGCTTTTTGCTGAAAAGTGCTACAATTTTAATTGAATTGAAATGATTCTTTTCATGTTTATACAAGATACACTAAAGCTAATATTTTTGCCTTTGCTTTAGAGCAATGACTATAAATAAGCTAATAATTTTATTTAGGAAACAACACTATCTTCATAACATCACGCTTTATTTTTCCTCACACAGTACAAATGCAGCTGCCATGATTTTTTGAAAGAGGTCCCTCGCAAAGATATTGCCATAATTGGAGGTCCTTGGCATTAAAAAGTTTGAAATCCTCCATGTTAAGAAGGCAGAATCGTTAAAATTCCTTATGAATCCTAAGCCAACTTATTATATAATGAGCCATAGGTTCATCTAAGTACAAAAAAGGTCATATTTTCACACATTTTAGACAACCAAGTTCAAAGAGTTTGAACAGCTAGAAGGGAGGAACAAGACACTTCAGTAGTGGCTGAGATCAATCAGACAGAGATGCGTGATGGTGTGCAGGACAGACGGCAGGGAGGAGCGGACCTCTTCCACTGCTGTGCATGTGTGTGTGCTGACCTGTGATGATGAGGCACTCGTTGTGGTCCAAAGCTTCTGTGAAGAGGCGTGATACCATGAGCTCAGGGTTGATGATGAAGCGTATCTCCTCCTGGACCAACCCCATACCGGTCACCCCTCCACCCACGAGCCTGTTCGCAAAGTCCACCTGCAGCACAAATAAAAACACATTCATCTTCTGCAAAATTGTTCAACTGGTCTAAAGTGTAAAAAATATGATTTCATCCTTGGTGTGAAATAATGTTACGGTACAGAGATCTATGATACTTGTCTGAACATTCAAATGGTCAGACTGTAAGCCAGGTTGTCTGTCCAGCATGTCACCAGAGATTATAGGTTCTGGGTAGGGGACAGGGTGCTAAAATGCACAGGGGTGGAAAATAGAGTGCTCTACCCGACTGTGCGTAAAACTACAAAAGATGAGAAAAGTAAAAGGAGGAAAGAATTTTCTGCACCGTTCTGGGGACCTTTAAATTGTGCACAATGTTACAACAAAATTAACTTTTTGCTGCTGATATTTCTCATCTGCCATGAAATTGTAATTAAAACAAAACAAAATAAAAATAAAAATCTTTGGGTATAAAAAATATCAACGAGGTAAATAATTAAAATAATAAATGAAAAACAAAAATCCAAAATTATAATTAATAAACATGAAAACATTTTTCACTGATGTAAAACACATGCATAACAGACTTCTGTCCACTGTGACCCTTGCAGGTTGCTGCCAAGGTCAAATGCCCATTCCCTCTTTGCTGAATAATGGATCTTTTAAGGACTGGCCATTAGCCATGAAGGTCAGATAATTCAAACAAATGAGTAAATATGTTCACAGCTTCTAGGCAGACCATTTAAGCTTTGTTCTTATGTAATACTCTTGTATTTTTATTTAGAAAATTACTTTATACTACCACACATTATATGACCATGGACCACAAAACCAGTCATAAGGGTAAGCTAATAATATATAATCATATAAATAAGCTGAATAAATAAGCTTTCCGTTGATGTATGGTTTGTTAGTTGTATCTCAGCCAAATATTGTCCTATCCTATTTGAAAATATGGAATCTGAGGGTGCAAAAAAATCAAAATATTGAGAAAATAGCCTTTAAAGTTGTCCAAATGAAGCCCTTAGCAATGCATATTACTAAACAAAAATGAAGTTGCTACAAACGTATGACTGGTTTTGTGGTCCAGGGTCACATATTACATTATACAACTAGAGTATATTATACGTACTACTGGCATTAGTATTTATATACCATATCAGGGCTCAACAATAAGGGTGGCCTGATGTTTTCCAGAAAAGTGTCTAAATGATATCATATACTTACATCGCAGATGTTTTTTTTTTTGTAAAGAAAATTTTAAATTAATATAATTAACAGAATATTGAAATTTTCTGACATAAATAAAAATTGTTTTGCACTGCTATTTATCACATTTGTGGCACTAAAATGTTGAAAGGGCAAAAATGACAAAGTGCAGGAGAAAATAAATAAATACATATAAAATATAAAATACATAATTATATGAGTTACATGAGTGACTGGCTTGTGGCACTGCTAAATTCTGTTGTGGAAGCCATTTCCTCAGTGCTGTCTCCTATTGTTATGCATTTTCATATTTCAAAGACTGGGAGTGTGAGCAGCAGTGCTAATATTGGCCCAGGACAGCTTTGAAAAGGTAAACAGGGGAAGTGTAGGACCCCTTTGAGGCTGTGTTTTGCAGGCTGTCAGGCTGGACTCACTGGGCCACAGCCTCCTCAGTGACATGGAGGAGAAAAGGGGAGGGAGGTTGGCAGGCTGCCAGATGATCTCGCTGATCAGGTCACTCAACTCCAGCTCCAACCGCCCCGCCTCTCCTCAGCACTACTGACAACCTGTCAGATTGTCCCACCCTTCCGGAAACATCCGTCAATCCGGCCGGCAGGACCCCGGGCTCCTGGGACCTCCCAGGGCTGTTCATGTGTGCCCATCAGCTGTCAGGGTGTGCCCTGCCCCAACTGGGGAGAGATGGGAAAAGGAGAGCAGGGCAGAAGACCCCGGCAGACAGACTCTGCGATGAACTCGAGAGGTGCAGGGAGGAATGTGATCGGGGCCAACGGATCTGCCGAACCTCAGTCAGTTGGGTCAACAATGAGATGTTTAAGTTGTTTTTTTTCATATTGCGTCACAGACTTGTCTGAAATCTTTGACATGTTATGTCCAATGTGAATATGATATGCTATAAAAAAAGGTGCCATTTGTACTCCATAAAAACAAAACAAAGCAAATCTAGACATATCAACAAAAAGACTCTCCTTGCTACAGTATATTATAAAATATGCATATTTTGGAGAAAACTTAAGATATGCATACTAATGGAAATAAATCTACTCTTTAGGCCCGTTCACACCAAAGAGGATAATATATAACTAGTGTTAAAAATCGCTCTGAATGTAAAAGAATAGCAGAGTCCATATGACAACTTATGATATTGTTGGAATCACTTCCACATAATTTTTTCCCGCTGATGGAAGCTAAAAACACTGAAAGCCAACCAGAATTGATTCTGCTTTAAAGAGCTTAAGCATTTAAAGAGACAGATGACAAAACTGAATGTTTATAATAAATAGAATGGTATCCTAAGTCATAATGGCATTATCATCCCTTAAAAAAGTTATTTTTTTCAAGTACAAGTTAAAGCCTCCTCTTCTGCAAAATAATGAAACTTCATTTGTCTTAAAAAAAAGTCATTTGGAAAAGAAAAGAAAAAAGCCAATATTGCCAAACTGGAAGAGGCACCTATTTTATAGAATGTTCCACTGATAGTTTTGGGGAAATATTATTTATTTTTATGTTCTCATTCAAGATAAACAGCCAGAATTACTCACAGCTGGAAAAGAATCAGCATCAGAATCATACAAAAAAAGTATAATTAACAACTATGCAGACAAGTCCTTCTTAAGGAGAGAGGGAGGATGACAGAAAAGGTATTTTGTGTCAAAGCAATCTCCAATCTGACAGATGTCACAGTCAAAACTACCCATGCATGACATTCTCACCTGAAGCATCCCGTAGCCCTCATCCTCTATGGTGCCCTTACAGGTGATATGAAGACGGGTGAGCTGTTTCTTTGAACTAAAGGTAAAAAAAACTTCATCAAAACACCAATGGCAAAATAACCACCACTCACTAAAACATTCATTTACAAGTACTGTTAAACAACTGCATCATAAATAGTGGCAAGCTAGAAATGCTATAGTGAACTAGGAGTGGAAGGTTACAATCGTGACTTAAGCAATTTGAAATACAACCATCTCAGCGGTATGAGTTTTCTAATAAGCAAAAATAAGCTTCGTCTGCACTACCAGAGGAAGCAATTGGCCAAAGTGACTACATAGTGCCAAAGTTCATTTATCAAGCACAAAGCGTTGTGAAGGAGTGATCTCAGTGAACTACTTTAAATGTCCGAGAGCCCTCTAGCTGTAGCACATTCAAAAATACATCTGAGATTTATATAATGGTATATACCCTTTTTTAATCACTACAGTACTTGTCGTCATTAAATAAAGCCAATAACACCACTGTACCAAGCACTATAAATAAGGTACCTTTCCCATTTTGGAAAACCGCTCAAGCTCTGTCGCGTGAATGTGACAAGGCCGGTGGGCACTGAAAAAAAAAGAAAAAGAAAAAAAAATCAGGAATAAACATAAATTACACCACTTTAACCCTGTAAGGCCCACTGTTGTATTATTACAACGTCAGTTTTAGCTCCACTAAAACAAACCTGTACTTGTTTTTTTAGCCTTTAAGATCACATTTACACAACTAGTAGGTCCTATTGTTCAGTCCTGCAATGTTGTTGGGTGGTATATTTTGTAAATAGGTCTGTTTACCTGGCCATAAACTTACACAACCTGCACACTTGCTTCAAGGGGCTTCACCTTTTTTTTATTGGACTGGATAAATAACATGCCTAAAATATTTTTTTTCTGTGATTAGTAATATGTGTAGATCACGCAGATATTAAGGTACTGTTAAATACTTTGATTAAATTAGATTTTGAGCTTTTTATGTCAATGTTGTAATTTTACAACATTGGGCTAGAGTGGTAGCAAAATTTACCTGTGCACCTTACACATTACATGAATGAATGAATGTCAGTGATAAAATATAATATTGATTTTTAATGTTAACTTATTCCAAATTAAATGATTATTACAGTAAATGATAAGTTCAAGTTGAATTAAAAAATACATTATTTCTTTGAGAATTTTAAATTATTTGTCATGCAATATTTAAAACTAAATTTTAAAATATACTTAACTGGTTCGGTTTTCTTTTCTGGGCTTAACTTGTTTGCTCAAATGTGTGCTTGATGCATGAGGGCCAGGTGATAATGTTCTGGAATGTGGGGGTTATACGTGCTATTATCATGATAATTATAAAACGGTTAGTTCTTTTCCTCGATTCTGATTGGTCAGCAGCTGTGTTTTATTCACGATACAGCACAGCTATGACCGCTTCACCCAACGTTCTGTGTATCACTGAGCAACACCCTTAGCAACCAACCTTAGCAACATAAACAATCGAGCATTAAAACCGTTCCGTGTATTATGTATTTCGGCAGAATTAAAGGTGCTGTATATAGGATTGACACCGAGTGGTTGAACTAGGTATTGCAGTCCAAATTCAAAATATTGGAGAGGGTTTTTTTTTCACCCGGCCCCTCCTCCTCAGACTCGACGCACACTCAGGTTGCCAGATTGAGCACACCAACAGGAACGAGCGCACTTGATAATGAATGAAATGAAATATATATCGGAGAGGGTTTTTTTTTCACCCGGCCCCTCCTCCTCAGACTCGACGCACACTCAGGTTGCCAGATTGAGCACACCAACAGGAACGAGCGCACTTGATAATGAATGAAATGAAATATGCTGTGTTTTCCGCCAACTGGCAACCCGGGGTCCCAAAATACAATTGGGTAAACTGGCAGTGGGCGGGTTTCACAAACCAAAACAGAGACCGACATTCCGGCCTGGAACGCATATTTTCAAAGGAGAATAACTGACTGTAGCATTGTTTGTCAGATAAACAAGTAACGTTATGTTAACTTAGCATGTTTCTTAAATATCTGCAAACATATTATGGTATTTTTATACTTTAGTAGAGTCAAAAACTTGCAGCACATTTAACTGTTTGTTATTTATTTAATGAAGTATGAGTGACCCCTGCTGGCGTTATGTTGCATCTTTCATCTTTAACTTTGAGACCCCGCCCTTCCCCGTCTACTCTAAAACGCTTCTCATGCGGAGATATGTTGACGCGTGTACGCATCTTTGTGGAAGCCCTAAGTTACAGTTTCCGAAGTGAGGAGGGAATATTGCTGAATTTATTAGTTTTCTGTTTCAGGTATGATTCTTTATGTCCATCAGTTTACACTGTAATGACGCTTGCAAACTCGCACTGTGCCGCGAATCTGTCTGTTTTAAAACTAAAAGACAGAAAACAGACGTTTCCTCATGCTGAGTGATAAGCAGATGTATGTGTGTGAGAAAATATCATATATGGTGTTAAAAAAATTACACCGCGGATAAGAGCTCCTATTCTCTGTTTTTATTTAAGCTCCATTAGATGAGGCTAGTGTTGGGCCGTTCTTGAACGATTCGTTCATTTTGAACGAATCTTTAATTTGACTCAGGAAGAACGAGTCGTCTCGGGGAGTGATTCGTTCAGTCGCGCATGCGCAACATCCTATATGTTCTGTACTGGAATTAGTCAAGTAGTTCACCTGTTTCGAGTCATTCGTTCATCACGTGACAGCCCCATAAGCCCAAACCCGAAGACTTGTCAGATAAGAGGTGGTGAGCTAATCATAGACTGAAGACCCAGGTAAACAATGAATTAATCTTTTCTGTTTCTTATAGCAGTTTTGTATTGTTTGTAGTGTGATCAACGTTTGCGTAAGTAGTAGACGTGTTAGGGAGGTAACACGTAACATTTTAATTATATTTTGCTAAAATGAACGAAATGACTCGAAAAAAGATTCGTTCATTTTGCTGAACGAGACTCAAAGGTCCGAGTCGGTAAAATGATCCGAACTTCCCATCACTAGATGAGGCATGTTCGGAACATTCTCTTGCCGTTTACTGTTGCTGTCAGGAACTATATTTAGCGGAAGGACAGCATTTAACGAACTTGCTTCAAAAAAGTAACATTCCAAAACATACATTTTTGATTTTAATATTTTTTTATTGTGTGGTAACCGTTTTATAAAAGGTTGTCTGTTTTTAATTTACTCCGCTTGGCGTCGTGCCTAACAACGCCCTTCAGCCGTGATTTATTCACAATACAGCACAGCCTCTCGTAACTTATTGCTTAGTAAAGCACAATAAGCTATCAGACTGTATTGTTTGAAATCTGTGGAATGTGTGAATTCTGTGAAATGTGTGATTTCTGCAAAATTGTTGAATTCTTTAAAATGTTTAATTATGATTGGGTTTGACTTGCATCAAGATTATTTAGCCTTGAAAATAGACAGGTAAGGTCATAATGTATATGATGTCATTGATGCCATCCAAAATGGGAACAAAGACTTTGAGATGGACTCTGATACAAATGATAAAAAGTAATATAAAGATGCCTGTGAACTGGACAAGGAAAATCACCACCCATTTTTGTTGGCCCACCTGATGATTATGTGAACATCATGTCAACGAAACCAGGCCATTCAAGAACACAGACCGTGCGCCGTAACAGGTAAAACTGTCTGAAAAAGGATTTGATCTGTCTCAACATTAATTTCTCTGATGATGCAGTCTCCCATCATACACCACTGGAGTACTTCTGAAGGTTTGTGTCAGAAGATATGATCAAGGCTCTGACATCTAACACCAATGAGTACAGTTTTCAAAAGAAAGGAGCATTTACAAAATCATTATGAGACTATGGGAATTGAACATGGCTATGAACACAGCTAGACATTGTAAATACCAGTAAATAGTTTTGATTGAACATATTTTTTATAATAATTATAATATTCATAAAAAACATGACTTGTCTGATTATTATTATTGTGTGATTATTTGTGTATGGATATATAGGCTGCTGTTATGTGGCTACATAAGCAGTATACCCTGCAAATGAACCCTTAGATCATCTTTAGATTTGTTCAGACAGTTAGTAAAATCACTGAAATTCTGCTACCCCAAAGGCCCAACGTTGTAATATTACAACATTTCACTAAAAACGTACTAAAAATAAAAAAATGTTCAAACTCATTTATTTCTGCATTAGAGGACTCCCACAACATATAAATGGTGAAATAATTTTTTTCACAGTTTTTTTCTAAATTTGGGTCTTACAGGGTTAAAGCACAGTTTTTTTTGTATTAGGATCTAAATAAGAGTGACAATGTCAAACTGAAACAGATAACTTCACAACATTTTTCAAAGGTATTTTAATAATGTAAATTATGTGAAAAATAATGCGTTTTTCGAACCACCAAGCATGAGAGCATGTTCTAGTACACCCCCAAAACATAATCAATACTTTGTAAAAGAGCATAATAGCACCCCTTTAAAACTCATTTATTTCTGCATTAGAGGCCTCCCACAACAACTTATAAATGGTGAAATAATTTTTTCACAGTTTTTTTTCTAAATTTGGGTCTTACAGGGTTTAGAAAGTCTGAGCGTTAAGTGGATATTTGTACGGTTCGGCAGGTACAGACTTACTTGATTCAGTGACTCTTCTGAAATAGCACAGCAGAGTTTTGAGTTTCTCAATCTTGCGTGAGGAAGAACCTTCAAACAGTCTAGAGAATGATAAAGATGCACAAAAATGTTGATTAGGTACATAAATTAGCAAAATCAATTCACACAATCCATGTTCACTTTCAGAGGATGTATTATCAACGCAGTCATAAACAACCATTAGAGGGAGACGTTTAGTTCTCAAAGTCAATGTGACGTATATGAGCTTCAGCACCAACTTCTGCAGGTTAGTGCGTCATTCTTGGGAACATGTGAGGAAAAAGAGGCCTTCCGTGTGATCAGACTTTGCCGCTTCATCTCACAAAGTCCTGTTTGCTCAGCACGCCTGCCTGTGATGGCCTCTCTGTCAGGACAACAATGATACGGACTCACGCCTGCGGGCTCAGAGCTGCACTTGTGTCCCATTTCACAAAAGACAATGCAGAGAAGAACACTTCTTCATTCCTCTAAAGACCATTAAAGAACTGCAGGCTTGCTTTTAAAAGTCCCAAATAGCAAAAGCCTTACAGTGATCAGCCATGATGCCCCCCCCCCAGCAAATGGCTTTCTCCATTTAGAATATTGCAGTCTTCAAGCTAACCATCTTCCACTTGCATTCATCCTTCCTCTTACTTGATGTAAATGGAATAAGCAGGAAAAAAGGGTGGAACAAATGAAATGACAGAGGAAAAACTGATGCACTAAAAGCCCTTTGGGAAGTAAGAAAGAGTTATTGAAGCCTCCTATATATAGCCTTCTTGATGGTGGAGCTGATTTTATGTAATGTAACCCAGAAGGTAACCTGTTATTGACAGAAAATAGCTGCTTTTTAGTTAGAAACTGACTGTTGACCTTTAATATGAGAAATATGTGAGAAAATGTGATTTGATTCAACAAGTCAAGCACCTATTAAAGGATCTTATAAACCTGATTTCAATAACAAGACAAGCTGGAAATTGCTAGGGTGAAATGAACATTTTTTAAAATTATTAAATTTAAATGTTAAACATTTTTTTTCCACAGTACATGCCAGGCAAAATGAGTTTTGTGTACAGGTCTAAAAACTACAAACATTTTGCCAATATATAAAACGCATGTTAATTATTTGGCCATTAGTCATGAATTTTAAAATGTAGTGTTTTTCACTAAATGGTAGCTATGGGGTAAAATGTGCCAGAAGTTTTAGGGCAAGTGGTCCCAGCTGCTCAATCTATATCATAGTGAGTCTTGCATTAAAATGCATGAACACATCTAATTACTAAATCATTCTAATATGCTGATTTGGTGCTCATGTAACATCTATTAGTATTATCAATGTTAAAAACAGATGTGCTACTTAATACTTTTGAGGTATTAAACGTGTATAAAAATGTGATACATTTTCAGGATTCTTTGATAAAGTTCAAAAGAACAACTTTTATTTGGTAAGGAAAAATTTAGATTCATTTAATGCTTAAATCTTAGCGACCCCCAAACTTTTGAATGGTACTGTTTGTGATCAAGGATTTTCCCCCACAGTAACCTATTGTAAGTCAAAAATGTTAAATTAGTCAAATTTAAGTTGATAGTGGACATCCAGAATTATAACTGATTTCTTCTTGACAAAAGGACAGTTAAGTAAACTGACACAGGTTTACCCCATTCACACATAAATGTAATTCAATAAATGCAGTCGATGTACAACGCAATGTAAATCTCACATAATCGAAGGTGACGAACATGGCAACAGATGTCAATTTGGTGGCTCCTAATCAATCTGAATCTTTACAAGAAACAATGACAGCTGTTCGGATCTCACTGGTGGATCTGTATTCATAGTTTTGCAGGTGTACCGCTGGAAAGCTTGCTTTGATGTGCACATTTTGAAACTAAAGTAAATATATCTTCAGCAAGCCTATATGTCATTTCCCAGAGGGCAGACTATGACAGCTCTGCCAAACAAGCAATCTCTAAATTGCCTGGTGTTTGATAGTAGCAGTGCTCAAACCAATGAGTAAACTGATGGACAGTCACTCAATTAAAGTGGGCTGCACCGTAACGATCCACACGTCTGGATCCTCTGCGGTCTTGCTGAAACTTGTTTTCTGCGGCATGGCTGAAGTCACGGCCCACAATGTCCTAACTAGTACTACTTAAAAAAAAATAGAATGGTACTTGTTTGTTAGTGTATGATGCTTGCGCACACTTTGTGTCTCTGTGTTCACCTGAATGACCAATTAGATTTAATGCTGATCTCACTCAGACCTTCATTATCTAGAGCACTTTAACTATGTCCAGCAGGGACGAAAAAGGCAGAAACAAGACAATGGCTGCAAATGAAGTCAAATGTATTAAATTTAGCTCCTCTGTATGTCTTGGAGTTTGTATAAGTACTTGAAGTGCCTGGGGAATCAATAGCCATCTCAGCATGACAGAGTAAAACTGAGGGCTGCTGCTACGTTTTTCTGAATGTGTGCGGCACGATGAACCACAGGCAGTTTTCCTTAAGAGTTTTAAAGGATAATTCTGTTACTCTGACTTGCATGAAAACAACTTCATTAAAGCAGAGACAATCTATGACTGGCATTTTTACAGGATAAGTGCTGTAACTACAGCCATATTAAAGACGAAGTGTCTAATTTCTGCACCACTACCATCATCAAATTAAAATAATGCCTGTTTTCAAACAGGTTTCCTGATGACTTTCCTAAACACCCACTTTCAGTTAGTTAAACAAACACAGTGTCAACTGTATTAATACTCTTCTTTGAATGGCGTACAGTTGTCACTTTTCACTATGTTTTGCTATGAAGAAAAAATAAGGAAAATTATATTTAAATTATATATATGTGTGTGTGTGTGTGTGTGTGTGTGTGTGTGTATATATATATATATATATAGTATATATATATAGTTTTAGCTGTATAAACATTAAACCTGTATATATTAAATTAAGACATTTTACCATCTACAGCATAAACAAATATTGTTTTCATCATGTGACTCTCTCAGTGACAAGTGGAAAGTAAAGCACACTGACACTCTCCCCACAGCTAAATATACAGTTATATACTATAGTATTATAGTATTTACCATTTTTAATTTTAATGAATACATAAATAAACGTTGTATGTATGTATGTATGAATAATAAGGGATAATCAACGGTTTGCTGTGCATTAAAGGATTTTAAATGCACGATGTGGAGGCAAAAAACCACTCGACGCGGCAAGCCGTTGATTATCCCTTAAATATATACATACATACAATTAGGCTACTTCAAAAACATTTTACCACCTCGTTGCTGAGGAACATAATGTAGCGATCTAGTAACAAGTTTATGTGCGATCTGCGATCTCTGACTCTCTTTCTCTCTGTGTGTGTGTTTGTGTGCCATGCGAGTGATGTGTGTGGGTTTGTGTGCATCAATTAAAACAGCGCATAGAATGGTGATTAAACTGACTTGGAACTACCTGTGCATTAAACTGACTTTTTTTAGTTTTACTGCATACCTGCCAGCCAATCAGAATCCAGTATTCAGACAGACCATGGAAGGGAAAAAAATAAATATGTATATATATATATATATATATATATATGTATGTATGCATGTTGACAACTCATTTCACCTGCTACAGCATTAACAAATAACACTTCATCACTTCACTGTCATGTGAATCTCTCAGTGACAGGGAGCCATATAAAATGGGCTTTTCTAAATATCTGGCCATAAGACAAAAACTATGTACAGTTAACCAGATTAAAACACATCTTACTGCTCTGTCAACGATATGTACCCTTCGATATACTGTTGTTGAATACCAACAACATCTCCATGTAGTGAGATGAGCTCTGGCTGCAGGAGATCCTGCTCATCAGAGGAAGACATCTGAGTAGGCACGATGACAGACGAGAGATGGATGGCCACGCACTTCACATCAGTCTCCCTAGCATCTAATTCATTTGTTTTAATCAGCCCGTAAAGGCTTGATTTAAGAATTGTACCACATGAGTGGCTTTGTTGTACAGCTGCAATTTAAGAGAGGAGAGAAACTCCTACACGCTGTATAACGGCAAAGACGATATCTATCAAACCAAACAACAGCGAACTAGGAGAATCACAGTCAACCAAGACCTTTTTTGTAACATTAGCCATATTGTGTAAGTCTTAAAACTCTTAAATTGTAAATTTGGCAACACACAATTTTGTTCACAACATATTTCTAAACCCATAATTGGAGTCCGAAGCATCATCGCCCCCTTATGGGTGATTCAATATTAAAACATTTAATGATGGAAAAGTCAGAACAGTGCAAATGGTCATTGTAAATGAAAATCACATTGTTGATTTGTGAATGTGGAGGAGTGTAATTTTGATAAAGAGGAACCTTCACTAAATTTGATACTTGAGGCCTCCACATTCCACATTAACAGGCCAAAATCCATTGTAAATGTAATAGAAACAGACTACTAGATAATGGGAAGCTAAATTAAATCATGTCGTGACTTACCTAACAGCCTACACATAAACCCTAATTTGGATGAAAATCTAAAACCTCAGACAATCAATAACTAGACCGGCAAAATATGTAACGGGTCTCCAGAGCGACGCCACTGAAGAGGAGGCAGTACCTGTAAAAACTGATCTCGGGGTAGCTGGCATACTCGGACTTGCGCGAGTTGCGTCTGGGAAATGTACAGAAGAAGGCATTGGCAAGAAGGCAGGCAATTTGTTCCTGTGACATGGTCAAGGACTGATTCATCCTTGTCTTAAGCAGCGGGATTGGCTGTGGAAGAGGAGAGAGAGGCAAAGATAATTAGTTTAGCAATTGACCAAACAGGGAGACAGAATTACATTAAGCAAATGGCCAGCAGTAATTAAGGTGCCCTGCTGTATCCCACCATCAGCCAGCAGCATTTACACCGAACGTCATCCATCTCTACTGATCAGACTTAAAGACTCTTAAGGGCAGTATAGATGACTAATCAATGCAAACATTAATAAAAAGTACATAAATAAAGAGTGGATCTGAGCTAGAAGATATTTTCCTTTTTAAGGGCAAAAACTCCTGAATTCTTAAAGGCTTCTTATCTGTGCAAGATCTTACATAAACAGTGATTCAATGGCTAAGTAGAAACTAGCTTACTGAATGGTTTGCAGCCTTGTCTTGCCTATATTTATTCAGTTTAAAGCTGAATAGTTTATTTTCTCAATGTTAAAAATGCTTTAATCTATTCTAGCTTAATATGTCACTCTATCAAACACTGTTTCTAAATGGTACTTCAGAATCTTACAAATAAAAAATGTGAAATACATAAATACAAACACACAATAGCTAAAACCAGCCTAAGCTGGTTTAAAAGCTGGTTTTAGCTGGTCTCCCAGCCTGGCTAATCTGGTTTTAGGTGGTTGGTCAGCTGGTCTTCCAGCCTGACCAGCTAAAGAATTGGTCAAACCCCCACTAAAACAAGCCTGCAAACCAGTCATGACCAGGCTGTAAGACCAGCTAAAACCAGCCAACCATCTTAGGCTGATTTTAGACTTTTTTTCTTCAGCAGGAAAATAAAAAGATAACATGAGGATTAACATAGAAGTACATTTGTGAAAACTTAAAGCATTAAATTCAGATGCATTTAAGAACATATCCCTCAACATTTTTGCTCTGATGTCAGAAATTAGGCTGATGGACGTCTACCATTGGCCTCCATTAGTTCAGATGATAATGAGGCAGTTGTGCTCATGTGGAAGTGTCCTTCACTAGCCACTGGTTTTACACCGCAGCACGCTGGGCCCATTGACCTTTACCAGCCAGACATGATTATCACTACTGATCTATTTTTGCCCCAAAACCTGAGCGTCTCTCCAAGCCAATGTGAAGGACAGTATATGATTTTGTGTAGTCTCACCTGGGTGCAAATCTTGGGCGTATTCAAAACCAGTTTCATCAGCTTTGGCAATGTGACGTTAAAGAGATGCTGTACTTCTTCATTATCCATAGCCTGCAGGAGAAGGATTAAATGTGTTTGATAGCGGATTAGGATTAACAAACAAATGAAGAAACAGGTCTGTTCACACTTTAAATATACACAACTATTTAAATTGGTTTAAAGTCTGTAAGATGCATTTATTTAATCAAAACAGTAATATTGCTAAATATTATTACAATTTAAAATAACTGTTTTGTATTTGAATACATTTTAAGTTGTAATTAATTCCTCAGTGTCTTCAGTGTCACATGATCCAACAAAAATCATTCTAATATGTTGATTTGCTCAAGAAACATTTCTTAGTATTGTCAGTGTTAAAAACAGTTGAAGCCATGATACATTCTTTCTTAATTGAATTTGAGATGAATATAAAGTAAAGTTTCTTTTAAATAAATTATTTGTAACAATCTGAGTCTTTGTCACTTAAAAGAAGTAAATATTTGTCTATTAAATTAAATTAAAGTGACACCTCTGCTTAGAGAATGAATCATACTTTTGAGTATTACCAATTAAAGATTGACAACATTACCATGTTATGTCCTCAATCTAATAAGAAAGAAAAAGAAATGTCAACTGTCTGGTACAAAATAGAATAAACAATGAAGCCTTTTTAGCATGAGTTTCTAAAACACCATTTAATGGAAAACAACTGTCAGAAAAAGGAGCCATATTGTTGAATAAGACACTTGAACCCAGCTGTCATATAGAGTATTATTCATGTGTCAGGGGAAGAAAAAAAAACCCGATAGGACGTTATGCTGTCAGAATGACATCAATAGGTGAACAAAAATGATTTGCATCCTGAGCTGCTGGCTTTTGGCAACAAAAACAGGTTGCTTTCAACTTTTGCAAGTAAAACATAAAAGCTCAGAGTGCACTGGATAAACACATTAAATGCAATATTAACCATATTAGTGGAGTTCCTATGGGCAATCCCAGCAATCATTTTATCTCTCTATTGCCTGGAGCATCCAAAAAGCTTGATTCAGGGAATTGATATATAAAACTCCTCGGTTTGTCAGTGTAGCAAGAAAAAACTCACTCATATCCGAAAAGGCAGTAACAAAACTTGATCTATCGCACAGAGGTTACAAAAACGTAATTTTGTGATATTAGCGGAGCTCCCACTGGTGAATGACATGACTGAGGTGGAAATAAAGACAAAGCCCTCGGTGCACTTTTCATCTCGGGTAAAATACAGCTAAGCAACGTCACCGTAGATCTCCGATCAGGCAAACAGCACTGCTTTGTGATATTCATTCTGAAGCGGAGGGTGTCAAAACAGCACACGCTGGCTCAGCAACCTTGTATGATTTCGGGAAAAATAAATACGCTACTGTTTTATCATCACACAGATTTACAACACACTTATTTACAAATATATTGGCTGCGATTGGCAGCGCGCTCAGTCATGGGCCCATTTCATCAAGGTTACTGGGTGTGCTCAGCTGATTAAATGGGATTCCTGGAACAGATGCAAATGGGTTGAGGAAGGAGAGGCGGCGTGGGGCTCTTCTGGACGGGAAGCCTCGCCTGACAATTTAACCAAGGAGCATTTATACACCCGCAAAGGAGGCCTGACTAAATGCTGTCATAAGTAATGACCTGCTTGACATCGTAAAGTGCTCCTCTGGGTTTAATGAGTGAGGAGAGCTGACAGGCCGGATGGGCCTAAGCTGAGGTTGCAGGAGTTAGAACTCACTAAATCAAACGGCCTCCTTCATTCCCCCTTATTCTGCCCAACCAGAACCTGTTAGATAACATACTACAATCTCTATCCAATCCAACCAATAAAAATTCAAAGAATGGTCGGATGAGGTCATTATTTTCTTATTTTTTGATTTGGGAGTACATAAACTGAAAATAAATAGCAGATTTTTCTTGGACACTCCGCATTATGAGTGCATGACATATCGTGCTTAGTATTTTACACGCCATTTTTTGGGTTTTAAAGGGGCATATCACCCGTGAACATGGAAATTCAATCATCATTCATCATTCAACCCTTATGCTGCTCCAAACCTGTATGACTATTTTTTTATTCTGCAGAACACAAAAATATATTCCCAAGAATATTTCAACCATTTTTTCTATCCAAACAAAGTCAGTGAGGTTCAAACAACATACTGTCGGACATCTTTGACTTTCATTGTGCGGGGATGAGTGAACCATCCCTTTAAGATCCAAAAAAACGAAACTGTATTGTAATTCAAATGAATTCCCTGTGTCAAAATAAAATAAAATAAAATAAAAGGGCAGTTAAAGTCCTAAACCAACCAGTATTTCTTACTTGCAAAATCAACCAGTTCCATTCATTGCATGATTTATATAATTAGCATTTTTCTGCGGGTCAGTATGTTTAGACAAATACTGTGTGTTGGCTTCAGGGAATCCCGCTATTCTGAGACACTGAAATAAGATGGTTGTGTAGGCGAAGGGCTAGAGGCTGAAGTGGAGTTCTGTGCACTGAGCCAGCAGTGTGAATTTATCAGAGCCCACTTCTCTGACACTTTCATTTCAGGGTAGGGCTGAGGCTCAACTACAATTTATGACAAGTCCGGTCCTAATTTGTATTTTGCTTCTTTCCATAGCCATTACACCTCTGTTGTCAATCAAAATCCCAGCAGCCGCTCAGTTTTGTGACAATTATTGGAGTCCTGCGGTAACAGACACAATTTTAAGACACCAGAGAGCCATTCTATTTGCACACCTTATAGGGCCGATAACAGCACGGGTAAATACAGAATAACACCGAGTATAAATGCAGCTACAGAATGCATGTGATCTATTCAGATAAAAACTATATTAAGAATTATTCTGTTATTCTTGAGCTTTCATCAAATTGAAAATAATAATGAAATTTTGTTTCATGACATTCTTATCTTCAAATGTTATTTCACAGCCAATAGATTTAAATGGTCATACTCATTATTCCACAAGTCTCCAATAACATAAACATCCGTCCTGAAATTTAAATTCACATAGAAGGACAGATAAGAAGACCACTTTATGTCCCAGAGGAAACCGCTTTCAGATAGTAGGCCTGTTCACACCAAAGAGGATAACTATAACAATAGTTTGTTCTAAATTTAGAAGAATAACAGAGTCCACAGCACAACTACAATGTTAATGGCACACAGAGAAAAAATATCGTTAGAAACACTTTCAACGTTTTTTCAGCTGATTAACGATAAAAACACTGACAGCCAATCAGAATCCTTCCTGCTTTAGAAGATCCAGCATTTAAATCTGCAGATCACAAAACTGCAGTGTGCACTTATTATAAATGGAATGTTATTGTGCATTAGAGTTGACACAAATATAGCTATCATTGTAGTCATCTTTTTAGTTACCGTTCTTGTTGTGAATGAGCCTTAAGCCTGCACTGATTCTTCATTTCATTCACACAGAACCGAAGCGTAGAGTGGGAGCTGCCATATTTTCACTATGGCCTATATGCAGCATTGCGTAAACATGGATTTATTTTTTGATGTGGTCTTGTTGCTCTATATTCTGCTTTAAAAATGTTTGATTGCCAGTCATAATGTAAGCACACATTTGACATGCACGATTCAAAACTCTCTTACAGTTATTAACTGACCGCTGTTCAGTGATCTTTCATTTAATCTCCAGCCAGGCTGACATACCAGTGCCCTCTGTTGATGATACAGGGAAATAAGACAGCTGGCTTAAAAGCATTTAAATATGTATGCACACAATGATATTATACCACAAAATTCTATATAGTACCATAATATTCAATAACATTTCAGACAATTTAGAAAAAGGGCACTAGTAGGGATTCATAAAAAAGCAATTACACAAGGAAAAGTATGCATTTGTAAGCACCTGCATACTTAATCACAGCTGAAAGAGTGAGAACAACACTACATTAATTAATAGCTACACGAAAACATACAGATAACAAGATTGTGTTCTTAAACACGACAGCACTTGCCATCTCATCAGTGAGGACAGGCCTTAGGGTTGATGTATGATCACCAAAAAAATTATAGTCATAAAATGATTATGGCAAAAGCAGACAGATGGAAAAACACTGAGGAACGTGAAGATGCATCGTGCCTGAGCCAAAGAGCAGAGGCACAGCTCAAGCTCTTAAGTGGACAGTTTAAGGAGCTGGTCCACTCAAGCATGCTTCATTAGAACTTATTAACTGACCGCTGTTCAGTGATGTTTCATTTAATCTCTTAAATTGAAAATCAATCGCCAACTCTCCAGGCTGACATACCAGTGCCCTCTGTTGATGATACAGGGAAATAAGACAGCTGGCTTAAAAGCATTTAAATATGTATGCACACAATGATATTATACCACAAAATTCTATATAGTACCATAATATTCAATAACATTTCAGACAATTTAGAAAAAGGGCACTAGTAGGGATTCATAAAAAAGCAATTACACAAGGAAAAGTATGCATTTGTAAGCACCTGCATACTTAATCACAGCTGAAAGAGTGAGAACAACACTACATTAATTAACAGCTACACGAAAACATACAGATAACAAGATTGTGTTCTTAAACACGACAGCACTTGCCATCTCATCAGTGAGGACAGGCCTTAGGGTTGATGTATGATCACCAAAAAAATTATAGTCATAAAATGATTATGGCAAAAGCAGACAGATGGAAAAACACTGAGGAACGTGAAGATGCATCGTGCCTGAGCCAAAGAGCAGAGGCACAGCTCAAGCTCTTAAGTGGACAGTTTAAGGAGCTGGTCCACTCAAGCATGCTTCATTAGAACGCGGTGCACTTTGCTAATGGCTTTGATTGGCTCCCTTATAGATTTAACGGCTGTGGTTAATTAAATTTGATACAGCCATAAAAAAGTCACAGACAGCTATTGATTTACACAGGTCTGAGATTATTCTATCAAATCATCTTAAGCATAGAGGGGACGTTCTGATGTTATGGCTGAAGCCATAACTATAAGAATAGCACTGTAATACAGAAATGGCTTTTGACTATTAATCAAAAGATATATTAAATATATTAAAAGATATAGCATAGTTCAAAGTCTGCCATTTATTGCACACTGGAGAAAGACTGCACACAGAGAACTAAAGGCAGTTAAAGACTTTCTTGCAACACAATGACTATGTGTTCTCTGGAAAGGGAGAATTAGTACAAAACAGCCAAAACAGCGACTGTACAAGTATGAAATGTATTGTCACTTTGGATAAGAAAGTGTTTGCTAAATGAAAAAGATCCACATAATCCTATGCCTCAAAAACATTATGAGTCCTGGAACAGTGATATAGCATAATGAAACCAATGCCTGGTGGGTTTATTCTCCACCTACTACAGTTGCAATCAGTGATCGAATTGGGCCAGTAATCACCAGTAAAAGAAATTTATGTGCAATGATGTTAGAAATATTTAGGTGAAAATTTGAAGGTATTATCTGTAGTCAATTGTGTAGCAATGTATGAAGATAAAGCTCACACAGAAGTCACTTTCAAACAGTAGGTTCCTGTTAGTCAACACAATCTGCATGACCAACTGGAACCGCTGTGAAATCTGCATGGGCACATTTTCTGCCCTCATGAGAAATTCCTATTGAAATGTCTAGATTTTGCCTGCAAAAATGTACAGAATAACGGTTCTTTAATCTTACATATCAGCAGTTTTCACAAATTGATAGGTGTTCTGAAAATTTGATCAGTGATCTGATCCTTATTTTTTTATACAGATATTAGGGCAGGTTAAGATATTAATGTTATTTAAAAATTTACAATGCAATGGTTTTTACCTAATGTACAGAATTTGATTATATTCATAATACAATTTCATTATATTTTAAGTTTACGGTAACACTTTAGTATAGGGACCAATTCTCACTAACTAGTTGTTTATATAAAGCAGCACATATTCTGCATGACCATATTCAACATCCCCAATCCTACCCAATACCTAAACTTAACAACTATCTTACTTACTATTAATAAGCAGCAAATTAGGAGTTTATTGAGACAAAAGTCATAGTCGTAGTTTGTTAATAGCAAGAATTGGACCTTAAAATCAAGTGTGACCGATTTTACTGTTTTGGCCTGATTTCATCTAAAGTAAGAAATCCTGACAAAATGTTATTTATTATGAAAAACATTAGAGTAATATTTTCCAGATTTGTGCTTTAGTTTAGCACGATGATTAAAAAATGAATTATGTATACAATTATAATAATAATGCCAGCACAAAGTACCAATGTAGCAGCTTTATATTTTAGGAAGTGGGTCCCTCACAAGGGAATCATCATATTTAGGGATTCTTGGCATTAAAAAGTATGAAAATAACTTGTGTGGGCAACAGGGCCGATATTTAAAACAAAAACTGAGCATAAGTTGTATGCCTGCAACATGTACTCTGTAGAATCTTCTGTACCCATAGAGCTCAAAAAAAGTTAGCTTAGTTAAGATCGAAAAGAACAAGTACTGTGGCACAAAACAGTAAACAAGCTCTCATTTATGTCAAGCTCTTGGTGGAATAGGAGCACTCAACCTCAAGCGTTCTTAAGTCATCTTCCTATCAGAGCCACCATCAAGACCAGCTTCTGGCTATGCGGAAGACCACGGCCCATCTGTTGAGTGTGTTTATTTGCAGTAAACAGGACCCTCATCTCCCTGGCCTTCCTCTGCCAGCTGCTGCTCGTTATGCTGAGTGCCCACCTCTGTCTTAATTGACTACTGCTGGATGCAAAGGGATCCCCGGGGACGAGGTAGCAGAAGGGGCAGACGCGGACTGCTTGGTGTGTATCCACTTGGAGGCTAACCTGCTTCTTCTCTCTGACTGCAGAGCGTAATGCCTTTAGTGTGCCAGTAAATTCAAACCAGTCAGACTAAACAATGATGGAACATTTTTAGTATCATGGGGCCTTCTGGTCCCAACTGTGACACACCACAAGAAATCAGACTTTAGGATGCTCACTTCATTAACGCCACAACATTAGAGCTTTCATTTTATGGCAGCTGCGGTTATGATATAGATCGTCAAAAATGCATCATGAAGTGAAATGTAACCAACTGGGGCCACTTGACATACTCTTTAAGTAAAATGGTTTATTCTAGCATTGGCAGAGAAGCCAATTAAACTGGTTTCTTCACTTTTCGCTGAAGTCAGTTTTACTGCGCAAGCAAAATGTAATGCTGTTAAACTGAATTACTCATTATTTGTGCATGTACAGTTTGTTTAAACTCATTAGCGCTTTGTGCATGTTGTAGATTGAATTTATTACTTTTCTGATTTCATTTCCACTAATGACACTATCAAATGCATATCAACCATCTGCATGCACATTATTTGGGGTGCACTGAACTACATCCAGATGGGGTAAGTCAAATGCTTTGTACATTAACACATGATATCGACGCAAATCCAATGGACAATTGGACAGCAAGCTTTCTTTGGCCATCTCTATTTTACACAAAAGAAAACATGCAGTCTCTATTTTATTTATTTTTCCTGAAGGAAAAAAAGTACTTCTTACCTCAGTGCAGAGATAGTTCAAAGCTGTGAAGTCCCATCTTTTAGTATGTACTGTGTTGTAACTCAATATTGCATCCTGTAAGATTATGAAAGTTAAAACATTTGATTTTCTTTTTTAAATATTAACAATTCATTTTTAGAAGCCTTTCATATCTAAGAAAAGGTAAACCACCAAATCACATTAAAATAAGTCAGTACTACAATTTGGTAAAACTATAACATTTATTAGGTAACTAAAACCTGCCTCACATCTTGGAGCAATTCTGCCACCCTCTGGTGGGATTCATTACTTATTCTTTTAGCACAACTTTCTCAAGACATAAAACAAAACATACCCTAATGTCAAGTGAACTTTTGCAATCTCCTTCCAAAGCTGTACGAATCAACTCCCATCGACTTTGCACTACACTTCCATCCTGAAAAAACACATCACACTGTACACATCAAATAGACACCATAGACACTATATCATTTAACAATTGTTTTTTGAAGGAAATTTATATTTTTATTCAGCAAAGATGCATTAAATAGAACGAGTAATAGTAAAGACATTTGTCATAAAAAGAGGGTTATTTTAAATAAATGCTTTTTGAACTTTGTATACAGCAAAGAATACTGAAAAAATGTATTGTGTCCACAAAAATATTAAGAAGTAAAACTGTTCTCATTAATGATAATAATAATAAAAATAAGTATCTTGAGCACCAAATCAGCATATTAGAATGATTTATGAAAGATCACTAAAGACTGAAATAATGGCTCAATAAAGTGGTAAATTCAGCTTTGCCACCACAGGAATAAATTACATTTTAAACAAAATTTATTTTAAATTATAATAATATTTCAATAATATTCACAATATCTTTGAACGATGCGGTATGATGTAACTATGTCAAACAATCATTTCATATTAAGCCTAACAAACGGTATCAGCTATTCAACAGAAGTCCACTCTAAAAAAAAAAGTAAAGTCTATATAATTTAAACAGCAATGAATTTTTATTCTACATGGCACCGATTAACATAACAGAAGACATTACCTCATTCTCCACAGGAAATAGGTTCTTTTCTGAACAAGGCATCTTTACAGTCATATCATCCCAGGAATCTCTGTATTTGCTCGGATATGGATGGGGGACTTGACCTTCTTTGAGCAGGTCTGTCTATAAACCAGAGCAGAGAGAGACTCTAGGTATTTATTTACCAGTTCATTTTACCATTTTACTTTGATTTTAAAGTACTTTAACTCATTTATAAATCACTCAATGGCCTAGGACCTAAATACATTGCAGATATGCTCACTGAATAAAAAACCTAACAGACCACTCAGATCATTAGGATCGAGTCAGTTAGAAATATCAAGGCTTTGAATCAATACAAACATTATGTAATCAGGTCAGTATGGCATTCTGATATTTTAAAGGATAACAAGTTTTTTTTGTTCTTTTAATGGTTGCCTGAAAAAAAATCTATTTAAAAAATACAAAGCCTGCAACAGACTCAAATGCCAGTGATGTAAAATATGAAGTAACTATTTTCTGCAGGGATATTTAAGTACTATCCAACCACTTCAGTCCAAATCCTTTCAATGGAACATCAAAACACTGAGTTCTATGTTGTCCAGGCAAAGCGTAGAGCTGCTAGGACATCCACAGCAGCATTAGACTCAAACTGACAGGAAGCCCTTAGGCGCTGACCGAGAACATCACAATGTCGCTGTGGAGAGCGTGGCTTACCCTGATGAGTACTTTGTGATTGTCTGTTGCCCTGAGGTGTGGCAGGGACTGTCCACACTGAGGCATTCTTCTAAGCTCCTTTATTGGGGTCCCAAGCCATTCCTGTTCTTTCTGCTCTGCTGACACTTGCTCACTGGAGAGAAGGAACAAATGATTTTATTTGCATTATTATAGTTTATTGCATAATAATAACTATATATTATTATTGCATTATTATTATGTTTATTTTATATTTTCATAAGACTTCAGTGATATTTGTACAATATTGGTTAATGGATTTATATCAGCCAGTATTGCATATTTAATTGCACAAGCTCATTTAGACTATTTTTACATTTAGATTACCTCTGTTGTCATCTAACACACATTAAAAAACACTAATAATTGTGTTTTGTTTTTTAATTTAGAAAAATAAATGTTTTTTGAGCAGTAAATCAACACACTAGAATACTTTCTGAAGGATCATGTGACACTAAATACTGGACTAATGGCTACTGAAAAGTGGAATCACAGGAATAAATTACATTTTAAAGTCTATTAAAATAGAAAAATTTATATTTAACAATATTACTTTTTTAACTGATTTAAAAAATAAAAACAGCCTTGGTGAGCATAAAAGACTTCTTTGAAAACACATTAAAAAAATCTTTAGCAAATCTCAAAACTAATATCAATTTTTCATATTGTTGTGACGTCTAAATTCACTTGTATCATTAAAACAACTGATTTTCAGTTTTAGTGTTTGTAACGATCAATTTAAACAAAATACTATAGAATTTCAATCAACCATATATAAAACCAATTATTAGTAACAGTCAAACTTTTAATATCAGTGCATCTGAGTAGTCTTTGATAGTGTGGTAAAACCCTTATCTACTACAGCAATATTTCCAAAAACAACAATACCTTTCTGAAGAAGACACCTGTGTCTGGTCACTCTCAGGTTCAGTCTCAACAACATTTTCGGGAACAAAAGCATCAGCACCAGAGTTTTGCCCCTCTGTGTCATCTGTTTCCATGGGTGTCACTTCAAGTTCTTCTTTGATGTTGTCTACAGCTTCTGGATTGGGGACTAAGGGTTTGGGCTCCACCACCATTGGGTCAACACTCGAACAGGGGTCTTGCAAGTCGGGGCAGGCAGGAGAGTTGCTAGGCAGAGACTCTTTGCATGCTGGACTCTCTGTTCTCATCTCCACATCTACATTATGTGTATTACTTGTATTTACGGAGGAACTGAGGTTTGTCCCTGACATCACTGTAGACATGCAAGTCATCTTGACCAGCTTGGCATCTGGTGAAGTTGATTCAATTGCCTTTTCTCCATTGCTTGGCTCCATTGGAACATGTGCATCAATAATATCAGGAGTTTCTTTATAAGTGATGCCCTTTGTGTCCTCGTCACAGTTCTGCACAGAGGTCTGTGTCTGGTCCTCTGGTTCATCATTCTGCTCCTTACGTTTTCTTGTTGACTCACACAGCTTATCATTATCTTTCATGACTGCCTGACTGCTTTTCTTGATTTCAAGGGTCTCATGAAGATCACACCCTGCATCCTCATCCTCATGGCTGTCAAAGACAAAAAAACGAAAAGTGCTTCATTTTTTTAAACCCATTTTAAACAACAACAACAACAAAACAACTTACCTATTTTCCATATTCATCGTAAGCACACTTCCTGCCAAACTACTTGCTGTAAAAAGAAAAATTTAACTTAGAACTGACATTTAGATCTTAGAACTGAAAATAAAAGCTAGTTACAGTCATACCTACAACTCATTAGCCAGAGTAATTAAAGGATTACTGCAAAACGAGAAAGCTAGCATTTCAAATGACATTTTACTGTAAAATGTGAAGCAAATTCTTTCAAATTCTTCTCGAAAAATATCTTGCACACACGCACGCACTCGCGCGATCACAAACACACACACTAATCCCTGAGGGTCCCTGGTTTGGCTGAGAATCTGGGTGGGGGTCCTGTTGAAAACGCATGATTCTAACCATTATATTGTTATTACATATAATTTTATATACTACTAAGTGCTAGATAAGTGTAGATGAAACTATGGATTGGTTCAGACATGAAATGTGAAGAGATAACATTCTTAATCAGCAGTATTATTATGTTGTTGTGAATGGCTAAACTAGCTGAGAGATAAAAGGCAGGTCAGAGTTTGCATGGATTTTTAGGCTAATATATCAGAAAAATTCATGTGTGCATCTTTCAAATCCATATATTTATGATCAGATCTAGAATAGGTATTAGAATAACTCTAATAAAAGCTAAAACACGCATCCCTTTATCTTTTAGATGAAGCCTTTACATCTCAATAAAAATCTACCACATACATTTTAATACACAATAGGTTTCCGGCATTATTACTGCTAGAAAAACAACATTCTTCCTTCAGTACTTCACGCTAATATTTGTATATTAGACAGGCTGCTTTACTGTCAGTCTGTTCGCTTTTATCACGGATCAAATAATCATACTTGCTCTCTTTTTCTGCTTTGTCTTCGTATCGCTGTCAAGCTCACACACATATTCGAGCTCTTTTCCAGCAGACGGGAAAACTACACCTTTTATGCAAAGGTTTGCTGCTTTTACCACACTATCAAAGTCAACAAGATCACAGTGAAATAGAATTAAACACACAACAGAAATGATAACTGGTGGAGGATGCATCAGTTCCGGGTCGTTCCGGTGCTGCTGATTGGATGGACTCTTGTCACGTGTTTGAAAGAAAGCCTCTCTATTTAAAGTTCAACAGGAACCGGTTTCTTTCATCTCTTGCTGTAGCTTTCTCATTCATGCAAGCTATGTTTTGCCACACAAGCATTCATAAAATAATATCTTTGGTGGGTCAGAAATTGAATTGCAACTTAGAGTTTAAGTCCGTCAATCTGTTTCTTCGGGTTCTTCCGTTTATTAATATTATTGGTTACGTTCTAGATTTTTATATTTAAGTAGGGGTTCATCCTCAGCGTCTTATAGATAAACTACTATGTAACATACAATTAACCTAACAAGAAAAGTAGCTAGGGCACATAAATCTGTAAAGCTCATATATAACGAATAGAAAACAACAGCTCTTTTGCTAAATTTAGTTTGTACACCTGAGGTTGACAATCAGCATTTTCTAAGCGCTTCCATAACTAATCTTTTATTGAAAAAGAAAATAAGATTTGGTACCCTGTTCATGGAAATGGTCTATTATTAATTATTATGAATTTGTATATTATCAATGTATTTACTAATGATAATATTATATGCAAGTATACAAGAAATAGCTGTTTAATGTATAATGAACAACAAAGGAGCAGATCCATCTGATTTTAGTTCATTAAAATTGCATACTTAAAATCTCGTTGTAAATAACTTCTACAGTATGCACTGTATAAATCACATAATTCTACAACAGCAAAACATTGCAACATAAGCATAAATCTAATATTGTATGCATATTATTAACAAAGAAAATAAACATAGTCAGGGATTGGAAATCAAACAAAAACTTCTCGTAGCACTGTAACCTGCCAACCCAGTGTTGTCTACAAAGAAAAAAAAACAGCACTTGGTGTAGGTTTATTCAAGTATTTTTGGAGGGGGAAAATAGAGGAAAATACATAAAAATACAATTTCTGCTGGTTCTCTATTGGTTGTGTCCCATTGCAGTTTGCTGCTCCAATGTCTTGTAATTTTCCAATTAATACGGCTTCACGATTTTCATGGAAATGTAGTTCTGTGAGAATAAAAGTGTAAATTTAGAAAATGCACATGATATAGTGATTCTTACAGGTACTTTGCTTATAATAATTTGCTCATTTACTAATAATAATATCTGGAAAAGACTTACAGGGAAGGAATACAAGAGGATTCCAATAAACAGGATCACCAGTATGAGAAGAATGAGTCCAATGAAGAGCCATTTGTATCTGCGCCATATAATGAATTTCATGGTCTTGCATGGATTTGTGAACCAAAGGAAGGACGTATCTGGACGGCTGTTTGAACATATTACAACATACAGTGTTACTCACATTATCTAATCAAACATGATACTGAATGGCCAAACATCGATATTCTCATACTTTGGAGGATCTAGTTTGGGGTTCATGTTGGGTTCATCTCTTCCTTTCCCAGCTGGCCTCTCTTCTGCCTCCTTCTCTTCCAACACTTCCAGTGTCATCTCCACTTTACCCTAACACCACAAAGAGAACGGTCTTTACCATTTGTACTGTACATATGCAGTATGCATCATGTATCTTATTTTTATCAGTAAACTACACTCACAGCCAGGATTTTTTTGCCATCTTCCTCCATGGCACAAGGCCACCAGCCTCTCACTGACTTCTGGGAGAAGAGTGACGTAGGTGTGAGGTTTTTGCCTGTTTGGGTTAGCATGCTTAAAGAGCACTTTTCAGGGGTCTTAGCTGGAGGGATGAGGTGAAGCATATCCAACTCCACCGTGCCTGTTTGAGAAAGCCAGTTGCCAAAAACATCAAAATGACCATGAATATTTCTAATGAAACCCTAAATAATACATAATAATAATCCAAAAAAAAGGAAAGATTAAACATCTGGTGGGTATGTATGTTGATTCGAAGAAGAGAATTCACCCAAGTAGTCATCCAAGGAGAATTTGTCATTGTCCCAGATCTGAATGATCAGTTTAGGAGGGATCCTAAACTCAGTTTTGTCTAGATTCCAGAAGTGTTCCTGGAAATGAAAACACATATGGTTTGTGACTACCTATGATTGAAAACACGTAATCTAATATGTATTTATGCTTTTCCAAACCACTAACCTTTCTAGACACCATACACAACTGTTCTGCTGGCAAATAATCAAAGCCAAAGACAAATCTCCAGTTGAAATTTCCATCTCCATCAAGGGACCTGAAATGGACATCAGATTTCTGCTTGTCCTCCTCCATACCTGGCATCCACCTACAAATATAAATATTATATATAATATAAATAAATGCATATACACTACTACTAGTGTTTATAAGCTTGGGGTAGGTATTTTTTTATGTCTTTGAAAGTAGTCTTTTATACTCACCAATGCTGCATTTATTTGATAAAAAATACAGTAAAAACAGTACTATTGTGCAATATTACAATTGAAAATAATTTATTTTATATATTTGAAAATGTAATTTATTCCTGTGATGGCAAAGCTGAATTTTCATTCATTGCTCCAGTATTCAGTGTCACATGATACTTCAGAAATCATTCTAATATGCTGATTTGGTACTCAAGAAACATTTTTTTTTATTATTATCAATATTGTAGACAATTGTGCCGATTAATATTTCTGTGGAAACCCTGATACATTTCTTTCAGGATTCTTTGATTAAAATACTGACACTTTTAATACATTTAATGCATCCTTTCTGAATCCAAGAATTCGTTTCTTTCAAAAAGTACTTACTGACCAAAACCTTTTGAATGTTAGTACTATGCTAATATTGTAATCAACATATTACCCTTTCACATAGATGTCACTCATGTTTTCTCCTGTAATGCTGGTTTCATCCAGAATGACTTCAGTCGTATTCCAAACAATGACTCGCAGGAAATACCTTCAATGTAAAGGGACACATTACAACACCAATCACACATAAGTAGTTTTACAGTTGTGAGGAAAAGTAGATTGTACTTCTTGGGTTTGCGAGGAGTGATGTCACAAAGGGGTCCTGGAATACCAAGGCTTTTGGGGAATATTTCAACCCACATCTGGATTTTGCCCTATGAAGTCAAAATGAACATGAGCGACACAGGCAGTACTTCTGGATAAACCAATGCAAAGTCTTTGAGTATGTATTAGAAAAGCTGAGGATGTGGGGACTGACCTGAGAGAGAGTGGGCTGGTAGGAGCTGTAAAGGGTCCTGGTCTCCACATGCTCTGGGACGAGGCCTTGCCTCCTCAACACATGCAAGCAGATTCGCTCCTTAGGTGGGCCCAGATGTGGATGGATGGTTTTATTGGCCTCTATGAGCAAAGTAATATCCATTTGTGCTTTCATTGCTTATTTACTTTATTATAAAATGCTTGTTTAGCAATATATGTTGCTGCAAGTTCCACACCAAAGTATAAATGCAACATACATCATGTACAGTTGTGCTGAATCAGGTAAAACTATAGTAACAACAAAGTGTACCTTTATTTACTACATAAGGGGGTTCTTAAGTTCATATTCAGACTACTGTTCAAAAGTTTGGGGTTGTTTTTTTTAAATGTTTTGAAAGAAGTCTCTTATACTCACCAAGTCTGCATTTATTTGATCAAAAATACAGCAAAAACAGTAATATTGTGAAATATTAATACAATTTAAAATAGCTCTTTTTTTCTTTAAATAAATGTTAAAATGTAATTTATTTCTGTGTTGGCAAAGCTGACCCTTCAGAAATCACTGTAAACATGATTTATTATTATCAGTGTTTTTTGGAAACCATGATACATTTTTAGGATTATTCGATGAATAGAAAGTACAAAATAGCAGAATTATTTGAAATTTATTTGAAAATATTTTGAAATAGACATTATAAATGTCTTTACTGTCGCTTCTAAATAAAAGTTATATATAACATACAGTATATATATATTTCGTTTATAAAAGTTCTTTAAAAAAAACTTACTGAAAAAACTTAACATTTGAACAGTAGTTTATGTACATAAAGTTGAGGCACAAGTTGAAGACAAGGTCTAATAATTTGAATATGCATACCCAGTTCATCTAGACTGTACTCTCGTCCTCCAAACGACAGGAAACTTCCATCATCTGCGATCTGAGGAGCAGGAGTTCCTCTCATCCTGGCCAGATTCTGTAGGATCTGAGATGGTTTGAGCTGGTCCCTCCACTGGTTCACTCCAGATCTTTTCCAAACGTATTTTAATTATCAAAGAGTACATGAATATGTCTAGTAATAGGGAATGATATAATAAAACTGTATGTGAAAAAGTGGCCGCTAGTAAGATAAACACTTACACACAGTAAGATTTTGGGATTCCACAATGTGAGCCGAACCGAGAAAGAAGTCGATTCTCAAGGTCTATGATTGTTTCCCCAACCTTCTCATCAGCGCTAAGCAGGTCATAATCATAGATGGAAATCTTCAAGTCCTTGTCTTGTGGAATGTAGCCGTTCAGTTCAAACACTCTGTGTGCATATTTTAAAATAGTTTTTAAAAATCTCAACAGAAATACATAATATATTATATTATGATAAAAACTCGCAATTCAGACTTTTTTTCTCAGAATTGCAAGTTTATATCTCGCAATTCTGACTTTATAACACGCAATTGCGAGTTAAAGTCCAATTTTGAGGGGGGGGGGATTGATATGTTCTCAG